GTCACACATGCTTTTAAAGTGATGGCTGTCTTAAGACCCAGGTCGTCACATTGTTCTCATTCCTCTCGGTACAGAGTAGTATGTGGGGTCACTGATGATCGTTTATTCAGGGGATGAAGATTTTCATTTAGTCAATCGCATTTAGTAAGTGCAAGCATTGTTCCAAGCACTGGGAATAATTTAGTGGTGAAAAGATAAGTCTTGAGTCTCATAGAAATACACCAAATGATTAAATAAACAAGAAAAATACCAGCTAATGGGAAGAGCTCTTTAGGTAACTGAAGTAGGATGATGTGATAGAAAGCTACTCGACTTCAGACTGATGGGACTGGGATGCCTCTTGTGGAAGTGAGGATCTGTCATTGCTTTGTGGGGAAGCAGAGCTATTCAGAGAGTTAGAGCACTTAGAAGGATGCCCCAGGCAGGAGTAAGCTCCAGGGTTCAGACACGTACCGGAGGGTTGGGGCAGGAGCCTTGTGGCAGTGCCGTAAGCGGGGAGAGGCTCTGTGGCAAATCATGTTGCAAATGCTGCCGTGGGGATGCTGTGGAACGGTGGCTTCCTGGTGGCTGCAAGGAGGATGCTGTGACAGTGGTCCAGGTCAAGATGCTGGCAGCGAAGGTAGAAGCAGTAGACATGGAGAAGAGTGGGCACCTTTGGAATGTGCCGGGGGCGTGGTCCCCCCTTTCGTTGAGAGGTGGAGGTGGAGTGTGGGGAAAGTAAAGGACACACTTACATTGTGACTAGGTAATGGCAATGGCTAGAATGAGCAAAAGGTGGGGGAAGTGGAGGACTGAGGTGGGTAGGCAGTCGGTGTCAGGCCAGGTTCTGAGTGAGACACTGCTGGACATCACATGGCCTCAGCTGGAAGGCCACTGGACGCAGCAGTGAAAAGTTCCTGGGAGAGGCGATGACCAAGACTTTTTCTGTGTGTTGCGAATGAGCGGTGACGGAGCACCCCCTCCACTTCCAGTCCCGCAGTTAGAGAAGAAGGTGAAAGCAGTCTGGAGTTGGCAGGAGACGCCTGCCTCCTAGGGCTGACG